AGATGAATAGATAAATAGTTTAGCTTAGTCATTCAAATTTCAACTTTAATTTATTTTGTAAAATTAGTTGGATTTTCTTTTAAAGAATATTACATCAAAGAAAGATGAATTGATGAAAATGTATTAACCGCTAGTTTTCATAAATATATATACCGCAGTGTAGTTATACAACTGTACAAAATATTATTCATAATTACTTATTTCACAATAAAGAAGGAGATTCTTTACAAGTGCAAAAACAATTCGCATCATGATGATGATGATGATGATGATGATGATGATGATGATGATGATGATGATGATGATGATGATGATGATGATGATGATGATGATGATGATGATGATGATGATGATGATGATGATGATGATGATGATGATGATGATGATGATGATGATGATGATGATGATGATGATGATGATGATGATGATGATGATGATGATGATGATGATGATGATGATGATGATGATGATGATGATGATGATGATGATGATGATGATGATGATGATGATGATGATGATGATGATGATGATGATGATGATGATGATGATGATGATGATGATGATGATGATGATGATGATGATGATGATGATGATGATGATGATGATGATGATGATGATGATGATGATGATGATGATGATGATGATGATGATGATGATGATGATGATGATGATGATGATGATGATGATGATGATGATGATGATGATGATGATGATGATGATGATGATGATGATGATGATGATGATGATGATGATGATGATGATGATGATGATGATGATGATGATGATGATGATGATGATGATGATGATGATGATGATGATGATGATGATGATGATGATGATGATGATGATGATGATGATGATGATGATGATGATGATGATGATGATGATGATGATGATGATGATGATACTAATACCTTCGAAATAATTAGGAAACAGTTAGGAGACTGGAAATTTAACTTTGTAGTTGGTATGCTCAAAAAGCATGGCCTTTTTATCCCTTTTAATCATTATTCACTTTGATTAAAATAAACTGAAAAATTCCACTCATCTTCTATTCGTGTTTTACACCATTCTATTGGCTTTCACTCACTGAATTCCAATTCAACCATGTATTTATCCATTCATTAGTCGATATTATTATTATTATAATTATTAAATGAAATTATTATTAAACATCGAGGCAATACGCACAGGATGCATATACGTCAATTCGAAACCGATCAATTGTAGTCCTAAACAACAATCGGAAAATACAAACAAACAACACCAAGTGAATTTAAACCACCCCATTAGACAAACAAATGACCATCAGGACTCAGTAGCTAAGTGGATAACGTGATGACGTTTAAAGCGAACAGTATTGCGTTCGAGTCCAGGAGTGAACATCAACTCTAGGATGCGGAGACATTCAACTGACGAGTCCCAACTTCTTGGATTTCACTAATAGCCACTATCCATCTTTGCGTACTATTATTATTATTATTATTATTACTATTACTATTATTTATAGAGTTAACTTCATTGTGGCACATTTTCTACTTCCATATATGTTTTAATTTCAAATATAGTCTAAAACTTGTTAATTCTCTAAATTTCGTGTCGCATTGAATGTTACATTTTAAACTGATATTCTGACTTCTTTTGTTAAAGTATGTTTATTCCTGATTTCCAATTCTTTTTTCTTATTTGTCCTAATTCAAAGTTGTTTACACCTTAGAAAATGTGTTCAAAACAGAATAAAATTATATTTTCCTTGATAAATACTAGATTAAATATTTTGTTGGTATTCTTAACAAAACATTATGATCTATAGTTTATTATGGTTTCTTAACTATCTATAGGATAATCTGTTCAATTACACTTTTCATGAAGAATACTATACCGATCCAAATTTAGATTTTTTTCAGTTAGTTATTTCTATATTGTGTCATTGTATCATATGTAGCATTATTATATCCCCTTTTCTTTTCCAGAAAAAAAAACGAAAGAAAAGAAACACCATAAATATATTTGTATTATTGAGATCATGGACCGATTGATGTTAGACCACCGTTGGAAACATGGAAGCACTGGACGTCAGATTCGTCCTAATGTGGGACTCCCCAGCAGTGTGCATCCACAATCCCGCTCGCAAAATTCGAACCCAGGGCCTTCAGTCTCGCACGCGAACACGTAACCTACTGGACCATCGAGGAGTCCCACAATAGGACGAAACGGCCGTTCAGTGTTTCCATGTTTCCAACGGTGGTCTAACATCAATCGGTTCATGATCTTAATAAAAAACTTATTAATCTCTACAACCCTAATATTGATATCTGTATTATGTTAGTTAAAGTTGGTTGAACTGAGAGAAAAACAACATAATCATAGTTAAATGATATAATAATAAACTAGTCTATTTCCAAGTAACAATTGTATTTTATTGAAACTATCTAGGAAATATATATCTTTCGGTATTTTGTATGTTTCATATGTAAATCATGTGTTTAGTGGTGACATGATGGAAAGCAAAGCCAATTTTCGATTGATTTACTCATTATGAGTTTTGTTCAAGATTACTTCCGTTTTAATTCAATGTAATGAATACTCAATGTAGTATTTGTTTTATTGTCTCGTATGACATTTTATTCTGTATAATATGAGATATTCTTGTATTCAATGGATATGAACTATGCTCAATATGTGATTTGTTATAACTCTAAGTATTTTTCATATATGTGATTTCATCCTAATTACTAATTAAAATGGGGACTACAATTGATTAGTTTCTAATTGACATATATACACCCTGTGCTTATCGCCCCGATATTGACTTAATTCACAAATAGAAATAAACGCATGTCCTGGATTCTACTGCCAGCCACTATCCATCTATGCTTATAATGCTTTTGAATTAAGGCAATACGCACAGTATACACATATGCAAATAAGAGACTGATCAATTGCACTCCTAAATATTAATGGGAAGATTCAATTAAACAATAGCAAGAGAATTAATACTTGTTTCATTCATGAAGGAGATGATTAAAATACTCATAGTCTGAATTAACATTTCAAAAATCTATTTCGTTTAAATGTCTTTTAAAAAGATGAGCCATATTTGTAGATCAGAAGGAAGATTTTAGGAATGTCAAGTTTATTGAACTAGATGGTTTATTTGTGAAGCTTTCATTTATATTTTAGGTAACATTATCAGAGCATAATAAAAAACGGAGTGAACTTATAGGATTCCTGTTTTTATGACTAACAGATTGTTTTGACAACATAAATTTTGATTAATTATCTCCATAAATAAGTTGTCATTATTTGTAAATTTATTTCAACTGTTTCCTTCACTGGGCTGATCTTTAACCTTGGTGTTGTTTATCATTTTTCGTAATGGCTGATTATTTCAAGATATCTGTTGACTGATGAGTCGCTGCCAATGATATTGCCTAGAACGACAATAAAATCTTCATGACTAACCCGTTTAGATCAGTAAAGAAAACACCTCCAAAAAGTTCTTTAAGTAAGGTAATGAAATAGAGAGAAAATATTGTAGACAACACTAGTGCGAAAGCGAGAAGCAGATAAGTTATTTCAATCACATCTTCAAGACCTTCACTTCAATTACATAAGGGCATTGTTTCTTCTCGAGAAAACCATCAATCTCTGATTTTAATCTTTATTCTAATCGTTTGAGGATTAGAATAAAAAGACTATCGACCTGTTAATCTTATGTACTTTTTTGGGATAATAATACAATGTTGTATGGTTTGGATCTAAATTATTGACGACAAAAACTTAGAAATGCTTAAGCAAGAAATGATTTGTTCTCTTATCTCAACCCGTTCTGGTAATTTCTAATTCATTTTTTTTCCTATTTGAGGTTAGATTGATTGACCACTAACCAGTAATCAAAGTCATATTCATCTAGTCTACAGTTTCGATCAAATTATATCAAACAAGTTGTAACGTGGATACTGGACCTATGTCTCATGCTAGTTAGTACCTATAATCTATTGGGGACTACCACTCTCAAGGAAGATACGATCACTTGTTGCCCAGTGTCAGTTTGGGATGTTACCACTGAGTTTTTAGGCCTAGCAATGACTTCTTATAAAAACAAGATATTAACGATTATTAATCAGAACTAACGATTAGACAAACATAACAATGACTATCTTGGTTACGAGTTTTAAGAAGGTTATCTGCCAACTACCTTTAACCACATTAATAATAATGTAGGTGATCTTACAGCTTACTATTCTTCCCAATACTATAATAGCAATCTCTTTTTACAATACCTATTATCAATTTCTGATTATTTGGTCATCTTACTGAGTTAAGTTTTGCTGGACTATACATTAAATATCTTGATGAATAAATATGAGGTAAAGTGTCACACCATTTTTAAGTTACCTACGTTTGATTATTACATTTTATAAATTAGTTTTTAATCTTTTAATAAGTTATCTATTTTGAGTCTATTTTTAGTCTGTTTTCTTAATTACATACACAAGAGATTGTTTTGATGGGGTTTTGTTCTCTGAGCTGAATGGTTCGATCGTGTATTTCTTATCCACTTTGCTCAGCTATTCTTCATCTCAAAAGGCAGTTGATTAGAGGTCTGTATCCTACATTTGTTGGTATGACCTAATGACGAAGACACTCGTGGAGAAAATACAGTTGTTCTCGAGTGAAAGCTTGCTTTTTGGCAAAATTTTCCCATTTTCGAACAACGAGAAGCGTACTACGCTCTACGACTAGATCATCTAGCTCAGAGAACAAAACTATCCACCTGATCTACAAATCTTCTCCAACATCTCAATAAGAAATTGTAGTGAATTACTTAATATCCATTCAGTACTATCTGATGTTTAACGGATTGTAAGATTATATTTAAAATTCGCTTTCCATTATATTTTATTAAATAAATACAGAAAAACAAATGGTTGTTAATTATTTATTTAATAATAAAATTTGTTATTTTTATTGTTTATTTATTTACTTAATTTTAGCTAACTTCCAATTATTCAAATGGATATCAACCAAATAAAAGCTATGGAAGTAGTGTTTCAAGTCCAGCAGTACAGTATAATTCAACGAAATCACTGGGGACAACATCTTATCCAAATTTTGGCACAAGTTATACATCAGATATTTATGGTTCTAGAAAAAATCGTGCAAGTTCTATAACTGGTAAAAACGATATTAATGATTATACATATGGTTCTGGACGTCATTCAAATAGTGGAACAGATTATTCATCAAATTTTTCAAGTTTCTCAAGTGGTCGCTATCCCAGTGGATCTATATCATCATCACGAGATTCTGGTTCTGTAAAGGATTATAATAATTTGTCCAAATCAACTGGTAATTATCATCGACCATCAGTTAGTAGTTTATCTTCTTCAATTGTTAAAGAAGAAGATGAAATAGATGAATCAAATAATAATAGTTCAACAAAATATATCGTTGTTACAAGTAGAGCTACTTCCACTGAAGAAAGTTCTCAATACAAAAATAAATTAACTGGTATATCTACGACAAAAACAGAAAAGATAGAAATTAAAATGCCTCGTCCAGTTAATATACATAATTATACACAAACTGGTGATGATATAATTCTACCCCCGACTAAAGTTTCATCTCCCTTACCTAATGGAGAAAAAGTTAGTGGTCCTCGACGTATAAACATCGGTGGACGATACTTAAGACAATTATCAGGTAATGAAGACGAAACTCAGAGTCCTAAACCTGGTCGTGGTGGATGGAGAGAGTCTGTTTACGGTGTTGATTACTTAAACATGTCACGTGCACAAACTCAACCACCATGTTCATCAAGCCCAGCTACTAATAACATTACACCTAGTGAGCAAAAACGTTTAGAACGTGAAAAAATGCTCGAAGAAGATTGGAAAAAACAAATTCAACTAGAAATCGAACGTGAAAATCGTCGTCTACGTCAGTTAGAACGTAAAGCTAAATGGGAAAAAGACGAGATAAAAAATCGTGAATTAGAAGAAGAAATCAAGCGTAGAAAACAAATTGCCGCAAGTTTAGCTGAAAAAGAAGCTAATTACAAGTCAGATTTTCATGCACAACAAAATAAAGACCACCAGTCCGCACAAAAATTGCCAATAGCTAAAAAGTTTGAGACGATTATCTCTCAGGATCCAATACAAAAAGTTAATAGTTGGCGTCAGCAGAATTCTCTACAAGAGGCTGACCCCCCACATGCTGGTGAAATGGATAATTCTCAGCTATGGGATATGCCACCGAAAAGCAATAGTTCCGATATTGTGAAACTGCGATCACAAAATAGACAGCCAAGTGGAAAATCTGATGCGGTAAGATATTCTCGAGATTCAGAGGCTACTTTACGCCAAGACACACTCACATCTTCAGTTAACAGTGCACCAGTATATGAGAACGGGGTATCAAATAGACGTCGAAGTTCGGCAATGTCAGCTTCTTACTTTTCAAAGCATACAGACATTGACGATATATTAAAAGACAATGTTTCATCGAAGCAAGACAGGAAAACATCTAAAGATATGCTGAATGATATTAGTAAACGAAAAGATTACTATGCAGATGGAAGTGGTGACTCTGACGATGATCAATGTAAAATTGTATATAAATCATGGAAAGCTAAAGAAGCATTTCAAAAAATGCCATTTGAATTACAAAATTTATTAATGAAAAGTCATAAACGACAAATTACTATACCAATGTTATTGAATGTTTGTCGTAATAAAAATCATGATAGAAAATTCACAGATTTAGAAGAGAAAAATTTTCGTGGTTATCGTACGGTAGATGAATTACTAACTGAATCTGGAATCGATGTTAAAAAAGTAAGTTATGAGTTTTATTATTATTATTATTATCATAATTAATGTATAATTTATCAACTTTGTGCTCATGATGTCGTTCACAAGAACGATGAAAGCTCCACGACCAAACCATCCAGCTTAGAGAACAAAACTCCACCAAAAAACTAATTTATCAACTTTTTTTACTTGTTTTCAATGTGAATTAGAAAAATTACTAGTTAAATATTGGTCTCATCATATGAAATCATTCTGTAAATACTCCGTTTAATGATAATTAACTATTGACTAGTCATTATAGGATATCATGTTCTGATTGTTCAAATCAAGTGAAATCTGGCAGTTGATCTGATTTATATCATTTAATTATTTAACTTCAAGTAAAATATGATGGAATTTATAATAAATTATAGTTAAATGCTTTGGTTAATTCGTCCCCTTTATTAAATCCTATAATCGATTATCAATTAATAAAACTTTTCTATATTTACGATTGATTGATCATTGGATAGTGGTCAATGTCATGTATGTCAGGCCCTACTTAGTGCAGGTCGAATCCTATCGACTAAGTTGCAATGTGGCTACCAGTCTACGTGATTCCATATTGCGTACACTATGTTGAGATAGGATAATGGTAGGAGATAGTCAACAGTAAACCCCGGACCTAGGTTTCGTATTACTTGGCACTTGTCAGCAAGGTGTATCTGTAATCTTGAGGGAACTGATGCTCCCTTGACGGATTCGAACCCGTTTCACCCAGCTTAACAGTCAGAGATGTTACCAAGGTATTTAAATGTAATAAGAACTAACATTCCTAAAAATTATTATACAATACGTATAATAGTGTATTAGTCAAATAATTATATTTACTCATAACTTTCACCCTATTAAAAGGTGTATGGTAAAAACGTCCACTCAAAATGAGTAGCTGTACCAAAGGGATATTTTTAAGAAAAATATTCTATGTAAATTCTATACTTGGAGATTTATACGAATTCATCATACCAGAATAAAAATATAAAAATAAATTCAATATAATAATATCTATAAAATATCCTCAATACATCATTTAATAGTTTGTTCTAAGCCCTCTCTAGCTGGAAGTTGCTTGATGGTTAGTTTATTTTATTTATTCATTTGAACACAAAAATATTGATACAAAGGGGCACCGAATACATATGCGCCACACAAGTCACTTGATTTATGTGTGGGCTGTAGTACTCCCTGGGTGCCCGAACCGAAGCATGTGGTCTTATTAGGGGGCCGCATCTGGAGCATTCGGCCTAAAGATCTGATCCACAAGACAATGTAGCAACATCAGGAGACAGTTGCATGGTAGCCGGTGACCAACGGTTAGTTCACATGCCATTTGTCCCTTCAGAATTCTGGAGCCCATGTGCACCATCGGTTTGGAATCAGGGTGTTTTTATATACCCTAGATGGACTCTCCGTGTTCACCAACCTGGTTAAAGCGCCGGACATTCGCTTTTCGTCCTCTCAATTTCATAGACAAACCCTCGGTTTGAGAAGGCACTGAGTAGGACTTCCCTGACAGTGGCTGTATACGCGTGGCCATGTAAGAGCGATTCGAGAAGGATAGCTGACTCTCTCTACTCTCAGCCGTACCAGGGCATTTGGGGGCCTTGATGGTTAGGATACCTGACCTTCAGCTATGACGCCACATGTTCGAATTCTGCCTAATTCTTACCCTGAAATATCTAGCTCAAACTCTAGTATACTAGTATGTGTACATATTTTCATTGAAGTAAATGGAAATTCTGTTTCTCATGAATACTTTTATAAGTTTTTTATTCCAAACTACATCTTGACTTCGTGGGCGTTTTTAAATCCTAATTAGTTATATTATATACAAGTTTATGTTTTGAATTATTTGACCAATATACATACATTCAATCACTCTAATATAATCTACAATGCTAGCAATAGCAGTAAACATTTCTGTTCAATACGTTAAAGAATCTAGAATTATAGTGACGTATTTAATAAACCAATTAAAATACATCCCCGTCTATGTGTTTTATTGATAAAAAGTTAGGTACTGCATTATCATAAATGAAAAATATATTTCCAAGTAAGCACTGATTTCACTTGTGGTCATACCAGAATGTGCCGTGTTTTTTTAAAGAGCTTGTTAACAGAACATACATTGTATTTGAATAAAAGGATAGAAGAGTAGAGTTATTTAGACTTTATTAACGGCTTTGAAATAGTGTTAACTCAACTGTTTATTAAATTGAAGCCAAAATATTAATAACTTGTCATGAAACTTGATCGGTTAAAATTTTTAATTCTTGATATTTTATGACAAATTCGGTAGTATTCGTAAATAGTAAACCTCACTTCTGACTTATTCAATTGAATAGATCAATGACTTTCTTAACTGTAATTTCATTATAATACTATTTAATCCAAATCACCTAGACGAGGTAACATTTTACAAAATTATCTTTATTTACATAAGTCAATGTAACATTGATAAATTGTTAATAGTATATCCTTAACTTATTCACTAGCAAATAGAATACAAAACATGAAAACTACTGGAAACTAAAAAGCAAAGACTAAATCATTTAAAATGTTTCTATTCAACGAGATCTTATGACTTGTATAAAGGTCACCTATTATGACATTTTCATGGGTACACCGACAATGAATCATCAGAAAGACACTTTTTTCTCCTATAAAAAAAAGTAAATTAGGCAAACATGTAATGAATAATTCTTGATTTAAAAAGAATAGGCGACATAATTGTATACGAGAAATGTATACTTTTTTTCGAACCAGTTTCTATGATTTTAATACAAACAAATACATCACTTACAGAGTAATACAAAATGTTTACCTTGATGTTTACTGTTTATCGTTTCTAGTTTGTTTTCTGAAGGGTAAGACATACTACTTTTAATTATTGAAAATCCAAAAAATAAATAAATTTATGCACGTAGTAAACGAACAAATAGGCTAAATGTTTAAATTTGGCATTTAATTTACAATAATCATCCTATAAGTTCTAAATAATTGTGCTATACCCTAATTGGCTAACAAAACAGTATTTTTTTTACTTTATATATGTACGGAAAAACCTGTAGTTGACACTCCAATATCTATACAATCAATGATTTACTTTGAGTAAGCAATTAATCTATGTTCAGCTCGACACTATCACCATTGGATGCCGGCTCAGTGATCCAGTAGGTTAAGCGTTCGCACGCGAGACCGAAGGCCCTGGGTTCGAATCCTGCGAGCGGAATCGTGGATGCGCACTGCTGGAGGGTCCCTCGATAGGATGCAACGGCCGTCCAGTGCTTCCAGGTTTCTAAAGGTGGTCTAACATCAATCGGTTCATAATCTCAATCAAAAATTTAATAATCTCCACAACCCCTAAACTAGTAACCAACATTCGTTTAACTTACAAATGGAAGTAGACCGTATTGTGTGCAAATCTACACAATTCTATGTCACCTAATATTCTGATAATAGGGAACTAAAAAAGTGATCAACGAAGCTGATTTTCCTCTGTAAAAATCTTCATCAATCAATTTATTAGGAACCAGTACTTTTCTAAATTGTTTCCAATTCTGCGGTAAAGAGTTAAAAACAGAAATATGATAATTTAATGGAATTATCAGAATCACCATAAACATTAATGCAAAGATATGAAGCTAACAATTAGCTATTAGTCAAAATAAAACGGTACATCTGTTATGAATCAAAAGTTGCACACTAATTTTCAACTAGTTTTCGTTTGTGTTCAGTTCTAATGGTAAAAGGTGTTGAATAAAATACTTGTACCGTCAAACATAAATAAAGAAATACTAATTCAGTTGGTCTGAAGAAATAAATGGAAAACTAATCCACACTAACGAAATCCTGTATGATAATAATTCCTTTTCTCAACAATGACAACAAATTGTTACAATAAACATCAAGAAAGATAACCCAATGTATTTTCTATCGTGACTATGGTGATCGATAGGACTACTTTTTACTGCTCCATTTGGTTTGAATGCATGTACGACCTTGCCACTTGATACCGATCTAATTATCAGATTAAAAGTGTAATGACAAATATAAGAAATCACTAGATTACTCAAGTGCAGTTGCATGAGACTAGCGGCTAATGTACAAAAGGTTATCAAAGACACTTCTTTGTGCCACAACGTCTATGTGTAGCGTAGTAGTGTTCCAGTGCAGTGGAGTTGCTAGGTCTAGCAGCTACCACTTTACAGAGTAAAACTTGTATAGTGAAAGTGGAAAGGAACAAAGAGAAAATGACAGTCAGAGTGAACGGACGAAAAGTTGATGTAAAAAACGTCAAAAGTCTAAAGTCTAAAAATGAAATATAGACTGGGTGACAGCGGATGAAGCGAGCAGAGATAGAGGAATAACAATAATAATAGTGGGAAGATATGAAACGAGCATTATGTACGGCTGTTTCAGATGAAAGACGATGAGTCACAGGTCCATACGTGATGGTCGAGCCTCCTCTTAGAGCTTTTCATTGAGTAGGCTACGGTCAGGTTGTCTGCACGGCACTCTAGGTTGGACTGCCCTTAATGGAACAAAGTATCATCAATATAATCCTTAAACTTCGTATACATTCCGTCTTGAAAACCGTCATTAGATAACGCCACAACGGCATATTAATCAGAAGGCGAATACGAAGTGTTGATTATGTTTATTATGGGACCACAAACAGATATCCAAAATTACAGGTGCGTTGAGCAAGCATGAAAGAGTTGTGCCGAAAGGCAAGCAGGCAAGCGTGAGAGTCAGCGAGTACAATTAAGCGAGAGAGAGCAATGAACATGAATAACATGGACACATATATATACATAGTGAAATGAATGAATCATCGAATCAATTTAGGGGTTAGTAGCAAGGCTAGCAGCCTGAATAAATGCGTAGGCAGTAAGCAATGTTCAAGCATACATGTTCATACATTCGCAACAATAATAAAGATACAATGATATAGATAAGTTGTTGTTGTACGGGTGACTCAG